CCTCAGGGACATCGCCTCCCAACCACAACACTCACTCCACGGAAAAAAAGTAACATTCTTCACTCAATGCAATCTTCTTCTCAACGAATCACAATCAACGTCATACATTAAATTTAAAATAAAAAGTAAAACCTCCTCACAACTGCCTCTGAACAACATTTAAAAACACTCAGCTCCATTCCAAAATACTTGACTACACACAACCACAACTTCCACAAAAAATTAAAATTATTAAATAAAAAGAAAACGCACAGAGTCACCACGCACCTCAGGAGATGTCACAAATAACAACACACCTTGGCCATGAACGGCACCTCACCTGGGGGGCGCTAAAAGGATAACCCCTTGATAACACATGCTACAAAGGCTCACATCGCCCCGTCACATCACAAGGAAAACTTCCCAGCAAAACAACACATAAGCATGTCTATTTGGCGAGGAATTGGCGACACCTGATGACCAATGCAAGAAACGCCTTCACAACCAGACACCTTTCAGCACCATGGACAGGCACACAAAGAAGTACCATCACTGAGGACTTGGCGACATCTACTGACAAAAGGAGAAAACGCCTTCAAAGCGAGAAGCCTCTCAGCACAATGTCATCGGCGATGACTTGACGACACCTGCTGACCAACGCGGGAAACGCCTTGACAATAAAACATCTCTCAGCACCATAGACACAGAGGACATGACTCTCAACGAAGTTCCTGGGAGCAAGTTGAAAAGAGAAATCTCTCTCTCTCTCTCTTTCTCCCTCCCTCCCTCCCTCCCATCTCCTACATCATTCAATTCCAACAAACATAACTTCAATGCCCGGATACAGTTCCTTTAAAAATTCTTATTTTTAAAAAAGCACATTCACGCACGGAGTGCAACAAAATAAACAAAAATAAAAACCTTCGTGTTTCATCACTTCTCTTGCTGCAGCACTTCATTTCCAACATTATTCATTTTGGACTTTCAATGTCACACCATTCACATAATTCACCAATGAGTACATGACCATATTTCGCAGACGGAAAAGGACACATCTAACCCACTTTACAAAATCACAAATTCAAGTGAAAGGAATAGGGATCACACGTGCTGCAAAGACAACACCTTCACTCACAATCAAGGTGCCTCATAGGCAAGGCTTGCGATGGCACAGCTTTAACACTCAATAGCACCACCATCCCACTGCTGCTCACTCATGACAGCATCAACTTACAACTTACACAGTTCAACACTCTCCACTTCACTTCAAATAGGACGTGGGGAGCGGGGGGACAACATCTGACTCACGGTGCCAATCAAACATCTCACAGGGAACTGCCATACAACACTCTGGTCATGGAGCCCACAACCTGGCATGTGCCCTGACTGAGAATGGAATCACACGACCTCCAGGTTCACAGGTGGAAGTTCAACCACGGAGCCACACTGGCTGGAGAGCACCGGGGGTTTGAATGGTCTCTTCTGCAGTCAAAGTTCCAAAGAACAGAAACAAAAAGGACATTTTTCTTGAGAATCGGAGGCGACTGACCAGGCACTGGAAGCTATGGATCCTTCGGGAGGAACTCTGCTCTCCAACCCTCACTCCCAGGCTGTGACCCTTCAGCCACGGTCTGGCAGCCCCAGGACAGGGTCCTCCCAAGACACTAATTCCTCTTCCTCCTGAAGTGCCTTCTCCCAGGCTTCTTGTCGCCACTGCGTTTCTCTGTTATAGTTATATTAGTGTGATGATTGATTTATATTTTAAGGATTTAAAACAGTGTGAGAATAATTATTTGTGTGATTTAAAATAGGAAAGCATTTACTTTTATAAGTGATTTATAGTTTAAGTGTGAATTGTATTTCTGATCTTATTCTGATTTTATTTTAAGTAAAAGAAATTATTTGAAATGTGTTTTAGGCTTAGTAAACATAACTCCATATAATGTGACTTGAATCCATTTTGTAAAACTTAAGTTTTAAAACTGACTTTGAGCCCCTGTGTGAATGCCCTAACATGTGCTTATCTGGAGAGTTGTAACTGTGTGAACACCCTAACAAAGTTTATCTGGAAAGTTGGGAACTGAGGCAAAAGGTACCTGGAGAGCGCCCGATTAGGCACAATGAAGATCCATTGGTTGCACCCAGAAGGAATTAAGAGACACCCAGAAATGGCCATAAAAGAAGGGACCTAGAGGCACTGGGCAGAGACCACGAAGGGCTCCTCCACCAGACGTGCTCTCCCTCTCTCTTCTCCCTGTTCGAAATACTGCCTTAAGCTCTGCCTGAGTGAAGCTGTCACTCTGCCTGTGAGCCAAACCTCTGAGGCCTCGTTCATGACCGAGACGCTGCAGTGGTCCTGTCCAGTGTGTGTGTCTGTCGGCGCAGATCTCCAGGTGACCTGCCTAGGCTTCTGGAAACCACCAGGACTCTGGTAAATAAACCTTGGGATTCATGCATCCTAACTCTTGTTTCTGTGTTTAGTTTATGCTCGTTCAGTTTTAATTAAGTACTGTGGGGAACCCATATGAGTCAGTTCTCTGGCTGAGGAACCCCAGTCACCTGTGCAGAAGTTCCCACCTGAGGGTGAGTTGGAACACTCTCTAAGAGAAAATAGCATATTTTCATTGATTTCAGCCACAGCGATACACAGCCACAGTGAGAATCGGTTGCCTCCTGCACCTCCACACCAGGCATGGCATCCCCAACCTTGGAATTGAACCAGGAATCAGATCAGAGACCTCTGGGTTCCTAGGTCAAAGCTCAGCCACTGAGCCACACTGGTGGGGTGTGGCCAGGTGGAATCGCTGTGCCTGGGAGAGAAAGACTCCTTGGCTTTGGGCTGTTAACTCTGTTGACTCAGGGTTAACACTGCATTAACTTAGGGTTCACACTGCATATGCATGGGTTTGATCCACCCCTGTAGAGGGTGGTCGCCCTAGCTCCCCATCTCTTGCGTTTCCAGGTCCAGGGCGCCTTGGCTCCATCCCGGTTCTGGTTGCGTTGGGGGGGGGGAGGGGGGAGAAGGTGAGGGCGGGGAGGGGTCTCTGGAGCCTGCAAAGTCCCTGATTCCAGATATTTTTATCCTGCGGTTCAGCAAAGTGTTAAAGCACTCAAGTCTGTAAAAGGTTCCAGGAGGAAGAATGAGAGAGGTGGACTCAATGCAAAGGGCGCCTGTCACAGGAAGGGGTGTCAGCAGGATCTCTGGCTGCCTGCCAAGGGCATTCCTGGGACAATGGGCGACATTGCAATCCTGTAAGAGGACTGGACTGCAAAGACACAGCAGTAGCAGTGCGAACTTCCTGATGCTGATGGTTGTGCCAGAGAAGACCCTGGTTTATAGAAAATTGCCCCTGGTATTCGAGGGAAAAAATTATAATATTTGCGGGGTCACAGGGTATCACACGGGTAATTTAAGATTGCTCGTGAAGAGACGTCTCTGTGCTATACTTGTCATTTTATTGTAGTTTTACTTTGGGAAGGCTTTAAAAAAAAAAAAAAAAAAAGTTAAACGACGCAATTCCAGAGATGTCCACAAGACGGCGACATAACACCACAAAAGTGGGTTACCAGGTATATCGATTAATAATGGGTTTTTTTTCATTTAATTTTTTTTTAACCATAGATGGAGTTGTTAGTAATGAACTAAAACTCCCCGCAAATGCTTTTTTTTTTTTTGGCATTAAACTCGACATTTCAGGTGTTACATTATCTATGATGTTAACGCTTTCAGAAAATATGACCTGAAGTTGAAGAGTAGGAGCTCCTCAATGCCTCCATCAGTCTTTTTTCCTCTTTTATAATCATTGCTAGTCGCCCATCTCGGGATATCGCAAGCAAGGTCCTTTCTGCCTCTTCCTCTTCTGGGGGCTCCTGGCCACCTCTCTTCAATCACCATGTGACCCCATCTCTGTCCTTACCTGACTTCTTGAGACTGTTTAGGGGGCCCCGCCTCCTTACCCACAGGTCACAGGTAAAGAGGCCAGGCTGTGGGCAGCCTAGGGCTTCCTTTTTAGCTCAGTCCTTTTAACTGCTGTGTGCCATCAAGGAAGTCGCTTGCCCTCTCTGCTGCTCCTCACAGGAGTGTAGGGAGATTGTGGGCGCCCCACTTGCCCTGAGGGCTTTCTGCTCCCTCGTCTGCACCCCCACCTCACCACCCTTCCCTTCCCCAGCCTTTCCAGGGAGGCTCAGGCCCCTCTGGACCTCTTGCATGGACTCTGGATGGCCACTGCTCTCCTGTCTCCTTTAACCCCAGCTGAAGGATTTTGCCAAAGGGACTGCTGACAGGTGTGAGAGCGGACGACAGCCAACCGGGGAGATGGCCCCCGGGAAACAGGTCCATCCTAGGTCTCCAGGAGGAGGTACAATGACATCACCAATTAGTGGACACGTGAGCACGCAGGCACAGAACAAAGGGGCAGGGCCACGTGATGGGGAAGGAGGCAGGCGGACGGGGGTTGGGGCAGGTAAAGCTGACCTCTAGCACGAAGCCTCACACTGAACCCTAACCCTAAAGCCCAGATCCAAGCCTAAACCCTAACCTTTAGCCCTGGGCCCTGACCCCTCAACCCTTCCCTCTCATCTCCAGTTTTTGCTCTCACCCCTCCTCAGGGCGCTCCCACGGCCCCTCACCCCTGACTCTCAGCAGCTCCGCGAGCACTCGGCCCACAGACGCCAGGGCAACGGGAGTGGGCACGTGTCCGCAGCGGGTGCCCGGACTGCCGCCTGGGCTCACAGACCCTGGGAGGTCCCCAGCCATGACACCGGAAGTCAGTCACACAATCGCTTCCGGTTGGCTGTCCAAAGCGCCATCCGGGACCCGCCTTCCGCCTTCCGCCTTCCGCCTTCCGCCGGGGTGCGCCTCCGGGTGGCTCACAGACCCTGGGAGGCCCCCAGCCATGACACCGGAAGTCAGTAACACAATCGCTTCCGGTTGGCTGTCCAAAGCGCCATCCAGGACCCGCCTTCCGCCTTCCGCCTTCCGCCTTCCGCCGGGGTGCGCCTCCGGGTGGCCTTGCACGCGGATGGCACTCGTGCGCGCCGGGGCGGCGGAGCTTGGCTTCGCGGAGGAGGCGCCGGCCTGGCGGTTGCGCAGCAACCAATTCCCCAGCAAGGTCGGCGGCCGGCCGGCGTGGCTGGGCGAGGCTGGGCTGCCCGGGCCCGCGGAGCTGGCGTGCTCGCTGTGCGGCCGCCCGCTGGCCTTCGTGCTCCAGCTGTACGCGCCTCTGCCCGGCCGCGCCGACGCCTTCCACCGCGGCCTGTTCCTCTTCTGCTGCCGCGCGCCGCCCTGCTGTGCGGGCCTGCGCGGTGAGCGGCGGGCGGGGGCGACCGGGAGCGGCAGGGGCGGGCGGGGCCGGCTCCGGGGGTTCCCTTCCCCGCCCTCCAGCCCCGGCTTTTTCTTATCCTGCCGGTACTCCGTGTGCTTGCTCATGTTTAGACTTTAAAAGGGTCCGTTTTCAGAAAGCGGTGTCCCCAAAGCTTTCCCGCATCTTTTCGTCTGTTGGGCTCAATGGTAACTGGATTGACTGGCTCAGAGAGCCAGCTCGGTGCGGGTCCCAGACTAGTTTATAGATCTGAAGACTTTCTTGTTCTTTTCCACTTTCCCCCGTCTTTCATAAGTTCTCCGAAAGCAGAAATGGCCTTCCATTTGTCTTTTTCATTCCTGTGTGGAATGGAAATTAAAAGATTTGAATTGACATACTGTTTTGTTTAAAAATACAGTGTTCTCTCTCTCTCTTTTTTTTTTTTAGTTTTTAGAAATCAGCTACCCAGGAAAAACGACTTTTACTCACATGAGCCGCCTCCTGAAGAGCCTCCTCCAGAGGCGGGAGAGTCCGTGTGCCTCCAGCTCAAGTCGGGGGCTCACCTCTGCAGGGTGTGTGGCTGCTTAGGCCCCAAGACGTGCTCTCGGTGTCGCCAGGCACATTACTGCAGTAAGGACCACCAGGCTGTGGACTGGAGATCCGGACATAAGCAAGTGTGCGGAAAAGCAGGTGAGTCCATCTTTCTAAATTTCAGCTCAGCTTCATAGCACCTACCAACTCAGATTTTTATAAAGTTATAATTAGGAAAGCTCAAATACTTCTCAGAAGTTGGGTGTTGACAACACCTTTATGAAGGAAGAGCTGTGAGCCGTGGCCAGTGTGGCGTAGTTCTTCTGGTGCAGGAAAGGTCTCCCTTTGGATTCCCAGTCAGGGCAGTCGGGAGGATGCATCTTGATTCCCAGTAGGAAGAGCTCTGAGATTCTGCCCATTCAGTTAGGTCTCATAGGAGCAGCATTTAATGTATGGTCTACAACCTAAAATATTTAAGCTATATATATTAATTAACTAGGAGAAGCTGTTACTATATTGGAATATACTTTATTTATTTTTTAAAATATATTTTATTGATATTTTTTTTACAGAGAGGAAGGGAGAGAGAGAGCTAGAAACATCGATCAGGTGTCTCTTGCACACCCCCTACCGAGGATGTGCCCACAACCAATGTACATACCCTTTGACCTGAATCGAACCTGGGACCTTTCATTCCGCTGAGCCAAACCGGTTTCGCCTGGAATATACTTTAGAAATAGCACATTGGTAGGCTATTCTTAGAACTAAGTTTTACTGATGGTGCAAGTTACTTTTTTTTTTTTCCAGATAACTTGGACAACACAGTTCCAGATCACAACTTCCTTTTTCCAGAATTTGAAATTGTAATAGAAACAGAAGATGATATTACACCTGAAGTTTCAGAAAAAGATGATGAACCAGAGATTATAGGGAGCATGGGTAAGGAGTCAGTTTCAGAACTTTATTCATTAAGTGATTGTGATGGTACATAATGCTTGAAACAGTGGGCTGAGTGTCCAGAGTGAGGTACTGACAGAAAAGCCAACTAACTTTGGAGGCTGCAGTAACAGAACTTAACAATATTGCCTCATTTGACAACACCCTTCCTGTCCCTCCCACCCTGATACATGTTAGGCACATTCTGGATCCATAAAGGTATCTCAGTCAGAAGAAGTGTGCAGGTAGCATTTGGGTAGGGCTGCCCAGGATGCTAGGAAGTTGGTAAGTTCATCTGGGTCCAAGGTCTATTCCTCAGATCAAGATGGTGTATGTGAGAGAAAGTGGGACACTTTTTTCTTTTTCTTCTCTTTTTTAAGTTGATTTTAAATATGATTTTTGTTGATTTTTAAAGAGAGGAGGAGGGAGAGAGAGAAACATCCATTTATTATTCCACTTATTTATGCGTTCATTGGTTGATTCTTTGATGTGCCCTGAATGGGATGGAACCCACAGCCTTGGTGTATCAGAACGACGCTCTAACCAACTGAGCACCCAGCCATGGCCAGCAGGCCCTTTCGAAGTGATAGGTGCTTCTTATTGACCCCAGAGAGGGCTGTCCCCAAGGTTGATCCTTATATAAATTTAAAAGACAGACCTCAAATGCATTGCGAAAAGCTAATTTAATAAAGCAGTTAGAGCATGCACCTTTAGTGAAAAATCAAAGCAAGCAAACCCATGCATGTGGCTTAGGAAGCGTAAACAGGCTCTCGGCTAATCTGCAGAACCAGTTGGGTGGGGGGTCTGAGCATTATGTACTCTGCTGTCTATAGGTTCCAAAATTCCTCTGCTGGATTTTTTTTTTTATATATATTTTATTGATTTTCTTAGAGGAAGGGAGAGAGATAGAGAGCTAGAAACATCGATGAGAGAGAAACATCGACCAGCTGTCTCTTGCACACCCCCTTGGCCGGAATCGAACCTGGGACCTTTCAGTCCGCAGACCTCTACCGCTGAGCCAAACCGGTTTCTGCCCTCTGCTGGATATTTTGATGCAGATCAATTCTCAAAGTCCCTGTTTTCTTTATTGTGGCCTTCCCAGAATTCATGAGAAGTACCCGGCAACTTTATTTTGCCAAACCCGGGATTGCTGGCTTCTCTGATTAGGGAGTAAAACGGCCCTTTTTTCCTTTCCCCTCACCCTCCCTTTCTACATTCTCTCCTTAGGGAGTTTTTTAACCTTTGGCTCTCAGTGCTTGGCTGGGGAAGATAAAGGCTCATTAGTTACATGCTGACTGCACATTGCCCACACTGTTCGGCCTTGTTTTAACTTTCTTGCCTTGGTTCCCCTATTCCACCTGCCCGGGGACCCTGTAACATAACCAGTTTTACACACTTTGGTTACATCTCTTGAGCTGATCATACTCCAGAGCCTCTGCTGATCAGATACCTAAGAGGCTGATTGGGAGCAGCATTTATTCAACACTTTGCACCAAGGGCTTCTGTGCATGACCTCAGTAAAGTCACAATTAATTCGCAACCCCATTTTGCAGTGAGGACTTTGAAGTTCTGGGTGTAACTTGTTTTGGTCATGTAACTGACCCAAGTTGTTAAGTTTTAAATGGAATTTGAGCTCACATCTCACTTACTAGAACTTGAGCTCTTAAGAAACACCACATAATTAGATTTTAAATTAGAATGTTGGCTTACTGATCAATAGTTCATGTAAGGGCATCAAAAATATATAGTAATAGTTGTCACAAAGACTACCTGCTTTTGGGGACAGCAGTGGTGCAGGTGGCTGGGGTCCTAAGAGCTGAAGATGCAGAGGAATGAGCTGGCAGGACAGTTTGCAGGTGGGCCAGTTGGGAAGAGAAATGTGAGGAGATTGGAAGTAAGAGTCCAGCTGCATAAGGGTGATAGTGATAAGAAGGGCTCATGGCCCGGCATGGGTGGCTCCCTAGTTGAGCATTGTTGTCCCATGAGCATTGAGGTCCTCAATTTTATTCCCAGTCAACACACATACCCAGGTTGTGACTCGATCCCCAGCCAATTGCTGTTTCTCAACTATATTTCCATCTCTTCTCCCTTCTTTCTATAAAATCAATAAAAACATTTTTTTTTTTACAACAGATGGGCTCACATTAGTTGAATGTCCTAATGTGTGCTAGGTATAGCTTCCAGAGCCCAGGACTTGGGTCTGTTCTTTTAAATTTGAAACTTTAATGAAGAGAAGTAGTCACCAGGAAGGAACCTGGGTAGTGAATAGTGCTTCACGGGGCACCCGGAAATGCAGGTGGTCATGCAGGAAAAAAAATCTGAAAGAACTAAAATGGGGAACATCTGGCCATCGCTGTCTGATTCATTCAAAACTTAGTTGATTGTTTGAAACTGGTTACCCTCAAGTGGTTTGAATTGTTAAGTCCTGGGGATTACTTCTGTTGATGTAATGGTTGTGTTGATGGTTTTTAGGTGAAGCACCTGTGGACGAACTGGATTCCATGGCAAAACATGAATCCAGGGAAGATAAAATTTTCCAAGAGTTTAAAAATAAAATAGCCCTGGAACCAGAACAGGTAAAGTAGAGCTCAAATGGTTCCATCTTGTGTTCTGTTAGGGGTGTCATTCTTAGAAGCTGTCTCATCACAGCAGCCCTATTTTTCTTTGTTGGGGGGGGGGGGGCATTGTGAGAATGACTATATTAACTTTATTGGAAGAACCCTGTACACAACGCATGTAACTACAGGATTACCCAGCACCCTCACCCCCCTCATAACGTGTGAATGAGCATCTATGTTCCTCAAGACCTCCCCAGCAGCAGTGGGCCAGTGGCACATCTGCTGTGTGAGCACGTGTGACTGCTTTCACCCAAGCATCTGGCATAGATGACAAGATTCAGATTAAATTTTGATAGCCTGAATTACAGAGGCTGGATTCATTGCTTTGATAACATTGAAAAGGAATTAACTTTGAGAATGTGTGTGTGTTTGCGGGGGGCGGGGATTGGGAAAAACTCTTAGGTGAGATGTGGGTGATCAGAATGTGATCCTAATTGATTTTAGATTCTCAGGTATGGTAGAGGGCTTGCCCCCATCTGGATCTCGGGTGAAAATGTCCCCGAAGAGGAGAATATTCCAGGCTGCCCCTGTGGAGCCAAGAGAATATTTGAATTCCAGGTATGACCTTAAGTAGGAATAATTTTACTAGGTAATTACCCTGCTTTGTGTCTTTAAAACATTACAAAACTTTAACAAAGTAAAGTATGCATGGGGTCGGAATGGTATTACAGAAATAGCCCCACCATAAAATTCAATAGGTTCCTGCCCCACCTCAGGGCTTACAACTGTCTCTTACTGATTTATCTGGTAGTTTTTCCATCTCTAAGTAACATGACTTTCCTGTTATTTGTAATTTTATTAATGTCCAGACATCTGTGGGCTTCTACAATAATGAGGGTTTACATGTGTTCGCTTTTACCATCTGGTCCACCCCCACCTTCCAGTGCTGATACAGCATTATTTTCAGTGTCTCTCTTATCTTGGTAATTTTAAATAATACATTTTCCACTGATCAGGTCTGACATTGTACGTTGTGAGAGGAGTGTTTCAGAACTTGCTCTTTTTAGTGTTGATTTGTGGATTTGTTAGGAAAACAAATGCATGTATCATTAAGATAAATGTTTTTTCAAAAAGAGGTTGTTAGCATCAGAATCATTTTGGGATTGGGTGGAAATCAATCCTCTGTGGATTAAGTAACTTTACAGAGAGGTAGGTAATAATTGTTTTTGGGTAAAAGGAATTACGAGGACTGCATCCAACACTGGTTGGTTCTAATCCCAAAGCTCTCGATGCTGAGTTGAGCAGCCAGTGTGTGTGTGAGCGTGCGAAGCAGTTTCCTACTGGTGGGGCAGACCTTCACTCTTCCATCCAATTGCTGCCCTCCTGAGGTCCCTTTCTCTATAGACATCAACGAATTTTCTTTTGTATTATACTAGTGTTCCTTCAGTCATTGCACCAGCACCTGCTGTTCAAGTGACAGAAAGTAAGTTTCATAGATAGAAGCCTCAGTCCTATTTTATGGCACAGCCTATATAATAAAACACTAATATACAAATTGACCGAACAGCAGAATGACTGGTTGCTATGACGCGCACTGACCATCGGGGGCCAGACGCTCAATAGAGGAGCTGCCCCCTGGTGGTCAGTGTGCTCCCACAGGGGGAGGGCTGCTCAGCCAGAAGCTGGGCTCACAGCTGGCAAGCTCAGCAGTGGTAGCTGGAACCTCTCCTGCCTCCAAGGCAGAGCTAAGAAGCAGTGCTAAGGAGCAGCAAACCAAGTGGTAAGGAGCAAGGGTCCCGGACTGCAAGAGGGCACAGGCTGGGCTGATGGAACCTGCCCCCCCTCCCCCAGTGCACTAATTTTGTGCACCAGGCCTCTATTAATAAAATTATTTAGATAACCAGCCAAGCCAAATGGATCGGCCAGTCTTATATTTGAGAACTTCTTTCTCAAATGGAAGTGAAAGATGCCAAATGAAATGGGTTCTGAGGACAGAACTGCAAAGTATTTTTACAGTGTGCATTCAATATGTTCATTGCATGTCTGTAATGCTGTGTAGCATGGAAACTTTACAGCTCAGCATCAGCCTGGCAAGGTCTGCTGAAGGAAGACGGTGCTCCTCGCCTGAGCAGGTCTCTGTGTCGTCTTCTCAGGTCATGCCTCAGCTGCTCAACTACCTAAAGGCCGACAGGCTTGGCAAGAGTGTTGATTGGGGTGTCCTGGCCATCTACACCTGTGCTGAGAGCTGCAGCCTGGGCACCGGCTACACAGAGGAATTTGTTTGGAAACAAGATGTGAATGATACACCTTAAAGACAACCTCGAAAACTCTTAAAAGTGCTCATAACCTCTTAAATCTTGCAATTCCAATTTTAGGACATTATCCTAAGGGAATAATTGTACCAGAAAGAGAGGTACAGAGATGTTTTAGGCTTTTTCCCAATCTATAATAAAAAAAAAAAGTGTAATATGCTTATTAGATTGGATAGCTAAACAACCTTCCAGACGTCCTTCCGGACAAAGCCGTGGGAGCTGAGGCAGTTAGGGGCGATCAGGCAAGCAGGCAGGTTAGTGTTTAGGAGCCAGTGGTCCTGGATTGCAAGAGGGATGTCCAACTGTGGGATCAGGCTTAAACTGGCAGTCAGACATCACCTGAGAAGTCCCATATTGCAAGGAAGGGTGCAGGCCGGGGTGAGAAAAACATCCATGCACAAATTTTATATGCCAGGCCTCTAGTATCTAAATATTAGTGAAACAGATATGTCCAGTAACTGGGAATTACATAAATTTTGGCGTATCTATGCAGTGGAAAGCTGTTTTTGATGCATACCTGCATGCACATACAGTAAAATACAAATCTGAACCAAGATACCAGTATAGATGGTATCCCTAGTATGATCATATATATATTTTTTCAAATATTTGTACATCTGTGTATTTCCTTTTTCTAAGTGTTTAGTTTAATGGTTTCACACATGTTGACCTGCAATAGAATAAAACTTTAAAAAGAAAATTGGGTCTTTTGTGAAGAGTGAGAGGTGCTGATCTACAGGAGGTCATGTCCTGAGCCACCCCAACTCTTGTCATCACCTGCCATCTCCCCTGCCCCCGTTCCCCTCAGACCCTCCTTCTTCATGTACAAATACATCATGCAATTCAGTTGCTTCTAGAAATGTCAAAACATTTTATGGCTCCTGCAGAGGACGTCCATCATTGCTGCCAATCCATCCATTGCCACCAACCTCTGCTTGGCCAGACTGCCTGACAAAACAGACCATGTGGGGGAGCAGCCCACTCACCATGCAGCGGGCACTGGCTCTGGCCCTTCCAACCTCCAAGAATTCAGAAAACATAGCAAAAAATATGCTGTAATGCTTCCGATAATCATATTTGTGGTAGTGTATCAAACTGTTGTGTGAATAATTGAAAATGATGCGGATATTTTAACTTACCATCCCATGTGTGTTTGTTTTTTTTTTTAATTGACTTTGTACAGAGAGGAAGGGAGGTAGTTAGAAACATCGATGAGAGAGAGAGTCATCAATCAGCTGCCTCTTGCACACCCCCTACTGCGGATATGCCCGCAACCAAGGTACATGACCTTGACCGGAATCGAACCCAGGACCCTTTCTGCAACCGCCTAACAAGAGAGAGAACCAAATATTTGATTCATAACAGAACACACACTCAGCCTTGACAAAGGGGGTCAAGCATCTGGATGCAGCCCCCAACTGCAGGAGCTGAGACGGGACACAGAACCAAAAAACGAATCAGCAAACGGCCCAACACAAGGAGGATACACCAGGCTAATGGCCTGAAATGTTAAGGAAAAGAGATGGAGGGAAGACTTCAGGAATAAAACATGTGCTGGGACAGGGTTAGTGCGACTCACAGGCAACATCTCGGAAACGAAGAACTCCATGCATGACCACGATAGACATGTTTGATGGGTAACCTTAAGCCTCCGGCCGATTCTTCCTTTCCCATTGCAACAGACAATGGAATGTTGATTGAAACAACAAGCACACACGAGTGGTTTCAGGCATTATATCTAAAATACAACCTTTTAACAGTAGGACCACGTAAATCTTACAAGGCAGTTATAGCATCAACCTAACTCTTTTATAAACAGCATTTATTGTACAGAGTATGAGGAGAAATATTTACAGCCATCCATGTTCATTAATACATCTGTCCTGCAATACTGAGAGGGCGGAATGTGTGGCACAAAAATAAACCCTAGGATTACAAATTAGAAAAACAACACTTGTAAAAAACATTTTTACTTTTCTGGTAGAAATATAAAAACTGGTTTATGGGGAAGAAAGCAAAAAAAAAATTAAAAGTCCAGTCAATTGAAGAGGTGGCTTGAACACCTCTTTAAGTTTTGTCCCTTAAACCAACTTGTCAACAGCAGTAAGAGTTTAAAATTGAAAGCTAAATCTAAATAGATAGGCAGCACAGACGAGCACTACAGAAACACCTGGCGTGTGCCTAGGTGTACATGCAGGCTGCAATCCACACGGACCCAGGCCACCCATTACGTCGTCTTCCTGAAGCCCTTGAGGATGGGGTAGATGTTTTCAAAGGCTTCATAAATTTCTGCTCTGACTTTAGCACCTATGAAGACAAGTGGGGTATTGATGAGAGTCTAAAATAGCATTTCTTAACCTATTAAGCGGCAAATTTATGATTTATAACCACTAACAAATCTCTCCGAGTTAGACTAACAGGCACAGGCATTAAAATCCTACATATTATTCGATAATTAAAAGGTAATATGCAAACTGACTGTTCAGAGTAACCAGAATGCCCACCACCCCTAGCACCAGCCAGCCTGCCCCCAATGGCCACCCCACCAGTGCACAAATTCATGCATCGGGCCTCTAGTATTAATGATAAAACCCCTTGTCACAATTTTGTTTTTAAAGCAGTTTTCTTCAAAGGGCTTTTTAAATTATTAAAGCAACGCCCTATGTGACTCAGCCTCCTCTCGGCAGGCATCACAGTGCTGGTCCCTGCATCAGATCAGGGCCACAGGCGCAGTAACAATGGCTGAATAGTATTCCCCAACTGCTGCCTCCCACCAAGCTCCTCCAAATCTCCCTCTGTTGTCTCAAAACCACATTGCTGATGAATGCAAAGGCTTTAAGGAACAATTTCCCACTAAAACTCCCATCTCTTATCCAATGCGATGCCCATCTTCTCCCCTGCCCACAACTCAAGACTGGGCTGAAGGACCAGCAGGAATGGGGTCTGATTTTCTCTCCTCTCTGGTACATTTCTTGCCAGCATGTTTGGGTGGGAGGAAAGAAAAGACCTCTGCAAGTAGCTATCAATGGTCCCAACTCTGTGAAATTACTTCTCACATGGAGATAATGACATTCTTAAAACTTTAAAATCTCAGACACTACTTCCTGTTACAACTTACCTGTTAATACAACTTTTCCAGAAACAAAAATAAGAAGAACAATTCTGGGTTTGATCATTCTGTAGATTAAACCAGGAAATAACTCTGGCTCATAACTAGAAGGAAAACATAAAGTTTATAAATTAAAAGTTGCCCATGCTTTTAAGATAAAATGAAAACCTGTATAAGCAAAAACATGAAAAAACAGCTATTACAGAAGGCAAAGCCTAGCTCCTCAAGTAGCATCAAAGGAGAGGGGGCAGAAGGCCAGGAAAACCAACCGGTAATATGCACCTGAGGACTAAATAACTCTCTGATGAGGGTGAATTTTCTGACAAGAATGAGAGCTTTACATAATGTTCTAAAGTCTCTCTGACCCTTACCCAGTGTTATTCTGGACAAGATTAGGGATACCATTGCTTCTCAATCTGACAGCAACATTCTGCCGTTTAGTCATTCTCATCTCATCTCCTTACACTGAAATATTCTCTAGCTGTTGACCCTGGTCGGGCATTTAAACAGTGCTGGAGCAGATACTGGGTACAGAATAAACCTTTCCCCGACTCCGCTGTTTGGATGCTCTACTCATGTGTCTTATTCTAAACCTAGAAATCTTGTGTCATTAGTTCAGAGACTGAAAACGGGATGTGTATGTCGCTAGCAGAAAATTCAGGAAGGTATCTCTGAAGAAGAGGTGCTCAAGTTAAAAATGTAAGAGTTTTCAAAGCAAAAGTGAGACTATGTCGGGTATAAAAGTGGAATGTGCAAAGGCCTGGTACCCCAAAGGGTACATCAAGCCTGAGAGTGCTAAAGCAAGTAGGCTGGGGAGGGACCATCTGCCTGGTAGTTCTCAGCAGGAAACAGCAGCAGAAAGGATATTCATGTCCTTCAACCATGCCCTTCACTAGTGGACCTGATAACGGCGAGTAGACTGAAAGGGGAAGGTTGATGCACAAGGTGGTGTCTTTAACCACCTAACTGGCAAGCATCCAAAACGGAAACCATCTATATGTCTATAGATACTTATGGCGTACAAAGGGTTAATTCACACATCTGAAATATAGTCACTGAGCAATATGACGATGGAACAGAGAAGGGAATCAATTTCATGGTAAAGGGGGTTTTCACGTCACTACGTGCAGTGGGCAGAAGGCCAGCGAGACCCAGAGGCATCACTCTGGCCATCGGGAGAAACCTCCACAGTAAGCACAGTGAGAGCTACAGACAGTTTATTGTGGACTTTTGAACAGACTGCTGCCAAAAGCAATTCCAACACCCTTCAGACTCACCTACTGAATTGTTGGTGGGTCAGCACCAGGCCTTCTAACCTTATGGGGAATTTCACATCGCAGCTCCCCACCATGTTCTGAATCTTGAAGTCCAAAAACTTGGCTGGGAAACCCAACTTCTGCACAACTCTGGCGTACTTTCGTGCTGCTAGTCGGGACTGCTCTTCACTAGGGAGAGGGAAAAGTAAGCTGTTAATGCTCAGAGCCAGCTGACATAGTTATTGAAATGAGCAGCTTTAAAAAGTGTGAACCAGTCACCCCTTCCCAATAAGAAAAAAGATGTGCAGACACAAACAAATTTAGAAAACCAAGCCTACCAAAATGACCACCTTTCCAATTCACCCCATTACTACCAGCCCCGAGTTTACAGATGTGCTTATACAATCACCAACATGACCACTGACTGCTTTTGTATTTTAGCTCACAAATTCCTACTAAAAGAAAACCAAGAAGTATCATTTTGATAGGAAAATACTGATGAGGTTTGTACTTAAAGAATGCACACACTAGTTCTACCCTATTTTATGTCCATTTCCATAACTCAACTGTTGGATAAAACTGACTAAGAACGCAGAGTTTATGTAGAACACAGTGAATGAGAACAATGATATCACCCTAAACAAGACTCTCTCTCAGGTTCAAGGTTAGGAATGACAAAAATTAACTAACTATACAGTCTTTTTTTTTCTTTAATAGATGGCCGAAACCGTTTGGCTCAGTGGATAGAGCATCGGCCTGTGGACTGAGGGGTCCCAGGTTCAATTTCAGTTAGGGGCATGTACTTTGGTTGTGGGCATATCCCCATGAGGGGGTGTGCAGGAGGCAGCTGATTGATGTTTCTCTCTCATTGATGTTTCTAACTATCCCTCTCCTTCCTCTCTGTAAAAACTCAATATATTTAAAAAAAAAAAATTTAAATGCATGATTTTTTTATCTTGATAAAATAGTCACCCACACAGATACCCACTGTTCCTTCTGAGGTACAAGACAGCATGGCTGCGGTGAAGACAACACATGGAGCATCCACTAGGAAACCCCACGTTCCCATGGCCTCGTCCCAAGTAAAACAAGCTGTTAAAGACACCGAAATGAAATGTGATGTAGAGCCAGGACAGACCCACGTCTCGCCTTCTGAAAACACTTTGAGACCAGAGTCAGAATGTCCACACCCATCGCTTCCTTAAAAGACAACTTTTAAGTTCCAAATTAGCAAAAGCTCTGTAGCCCCTCTGTACGTTAACACCTGCAAGTGCATCCATCACTTTTTATTTTAGGAGTTTAGTTTACTTCATTTGTGTCTAATTCCCCTACTCCTTGTGTCTCCTACCAAGTCTGTGGGCTGTTAGGCTTAGACTAGTCAAGGCATTCGAAGAGGGGCTCATGGCACACTGAGGCAGAGTACAGGCAGCAGCATTTGGCATGAAGGTGCACAACTCAGACCATCAGAACAAACACCATCCCCACGAGGGCATGGCACCTGTCACCACGTCACTGCCAGAGCCAAGGAGGTCTGTGCTCATCCTGATTTCTAGGGGATGAATTTGTGTACAAAGTTTTTTACACAAAGGAATCCTTAATAGTTGTGATGTAATCTGTTATCAAATACACACAAAATGCAACTGAATTATAGGGAAATAAGCAATGGTAACATGTCCAAAAGTCATGCCTAAGTTTTTTTTTTGGATTTTTAAAAATTGATTTTTAAAGAGGAAGGAAGGGAAAGGAAACACCAACGTGAGAGAGAAACAGTAATAAGTTGCCTCCTGTACACACCCCAACCGGGGATCGAACTCGCAGTACAGGTATGTGCTCTGACCAGGAAAAGAACCTGCCACCTTTCAATGTATGAGATGACATTCCAATCAGCTGAGCCAACCAGCCAGGGCCAGGCCTAACTTTAAAAAAATGAAATTACTGAGAATCCAAGGTGGCTGTGCCCAGGTAAATACCTAGCCACAGCCGCACACAACAATTTCAATAAAATACAACTAAAATATAAAATGGACATTACCCAGAACTACAGGAAAGTCGACTGACTGGAAATTCTACAACGAGAAGCAAGGAGAAAACCAGAAGGAAATGCGGAGGAGCTGTAAAAGCCTAAGGTACAGAGACACACGGCGCGCGGAGAGGACGGAACCGGAGAGGGGGAGGCCGAGTGCCTGGCTGGCCTTCCCTAGCGGGAAGGAGATAAAACTCCGACTGTGCTGGGCCCCAGTTCCAACTGCTCTGAACCCCAGTTCTAGGCCAGACCCTGGGGACACAGGCTCATCCATAGGGAGCTGGGCTGTAAGGCGGAACCCAGGGGAAGCGGCAAAAGGAGGTCCCGGCGGCACGCACATTGCGCGCAGAGAAGGGACGGTCGGCTGTGCCGTGGGAGTGCCCTGGCGGGAAGGAGACAAAAGCTCCAGACTGCTCTGAACGCCACCTCCAACTCCACTTCCAACTGAACTGAACCCCAATACCGGGCTCATTGGGGGAAAGCCTATACTGTTTGGTAGCAGGCGAAAATCGAGGGCACCTTTCTCTCAGAGGCGCTTGCAGCGAGTACTGAAGGACCCTGAAACCCAGGAACCGCATAGGGCAGGGCTGACGGAAGCCAAGGCTGTAGACTCCACCCTAAAACCCCGTAGCTGCAAAATGCAACAACGAAATAGATCACAAACGAAAGAAATGGAGGACAAAAAGCGACTGGATATAGAGTTCAAATCTACACTTATAAGGTTTTTCAAGAATTTCCTAGAAAAGATCGATAAGACCTATGAGAATATGAAAAGAGATCAACTAGAATTAATAAGGAATCAACAAGAAATGATAAGGAATCAACAAGAAATGATAAGGGATCAACAAGAAATAAAGAATACATTGTCTGAAATAAAAAATATTATACAGAGTCCTAAAAACAGAATGGAAGATCGTAAGAATCAAGTCAAAGATTTGGAACATAAAGAGCCAGAAGACACTCCTCCACAGAAGCTAGAAGGCAAGAGAATCCAGAAAATTGAAGATAATGTAAGAAACCTCTGGGACAACTTCAAGCGAACCAACATCAGAATTATGGGGATCCCAGAAGATGAGAGAGAGCAAGATATCGAAAACATACTGAAAGAAATAGTGACAGAAAACTTCCCCCATCTGGTGAAAGAATTAGACTTTCAAGTCCAGGAATCGCACCAAACCCCAAACAAAAGGGATCCAAAGAGGACCACACCAAGACACATCATAATTGAAATTCCAAGAGCAAAAGACAAAGAAAGAATATTAAAAGCAGCAAGGGCAAAGAAGGGAGTTACCTATAAAGGAGCACCTATACGATTGTCAGCTGATTTCTCAACAGAAACCATGCAGGCCAGACGGGAATGGCAAGAAATATTCAAGGTGATGAATAGTAAGAACCTACAGCCAAAGATAATCTATCCAGCAAAGCTATCACTCAGAATCGAAGATCAGATAAAGAGCTTCACTAATAAAAAAAAGCTAAAGGAGTTCAACACCAAACCAGAATTATATGAATTGCTGAAGGGGATTCTTTCAGAAGAGAAAGTAAATAAAAATAAAAATTATGAACAACAAATACGTAACTATCAACAAGTGAATCTAAAAACCAAAGGAATTAAAAAAAAAATCTGATGAACAATATTAACTGTTGAATATAACAGAATCAGAGGTATGAAAGGGGAGTGAACTGAGGATTCTTGGGGAAAAGGAGAGAGGGAGATGTGGGAAGAGACTGAACATAAACTGTGCACCTATGAATGAGGACAATGGGGAGTGGGGAAAGGGCAGAGGGTGGGGTGGGAACCTGGTGGAAGAGAGCAATGGTGGAGGGGGGAAAAAGGAACATTTGTAATAATATGAACAATAAAAACTTATTTAAAAAAAAAATGAAATTACTGCCAACTAAAGTGATTAGAGCCAACTACTGTAGTAAAAAAGCAACAAAAGTATTTGATTCAAGCATCAGCTTACCACCGAGGACACACAAACAACAGATAGAACGGCCTCTCCGCACCTACCTCTTGGCACCCGTACACACCATTTTCCCGGAACTGAAGATCAAGGCTGTGGTCCGGGGCTCCCTTATTCTCATGATGACAGCAGCGAACCGCTGGAATGGTGGAGAGTCGTTAGGGCGTGAGGAAAACTAGACTATGACAGCTAAGAAGTTCTGTGCACAGCCGCCATAGCACCCACATGCGCCCCCAGGCAGGACCTCCCGCCACCAAGCAGGGCACAAGCTTTCCCATAGGAAGCAGAACTGTGATGACCTGTATATTCTTTCCTACATTCCTATAAGATAGTACTTGCAAATCTTTTTCTTAAAAGTTTTTTTTTCTTACAAGGGAGTACTTGCAAATCTTTTTCTTAAAAGTTTTTTTTTATTGATTTGAGAAAGGGAGAGGGAAGGAGTGTGGGAGGGAGTTAGGAGGGGAGAAAAACATCACTGTGACAGACACACATTGATCTGCTGCCTACCATAGGACCAAACCTGCAATCCAGGCATAGGGCCTGACCGAGAATCAAGCCAGGGACCTTCCAATGTCTGGGGCAAGCCTAACCAATTGAGCCACACAGGCAAGGGCTCAATTTCTTTTTCTTTTAATTACATGAGGTCCTCTACTTCTACCTTATATTTGATGCTTCCCATGACTAGCTTCTGTAACTATAAACTTTGTTTGGAAAACCTTCACCTCCAGAGCAGTTAGTAAGGCAGAATACAAACACATCAATATCTGCGGAAGTGACCTCCTATTTCCAGTTGTATCTCAGAAACAGCATTTAATTATTACCATGGCACAAACTTACTGATCTAGGGATCTTGAGAAGTAAAGTCCTATATTACAGTGTGAAATACATTAAAATTGCTCTGACCTTGGGATTATATTCAGCATTTCGGGCACGAAGTGCAATGGTCTTCAGGTCAAGTTTACAACCAAGATTCACTGTGGATACAATATTTCTGCAAAAAAATTAAAAAGAAAATGTGATTTATTCATTTAACTTTTACAGGATGAGGTGTTAGATGATTATCTGGAAACTTGATTGTTGCATTCAAACTAATTCAATTTCATGAAATTTAAACTTATTTCAAATTTTAATAAACTGACATTTTTTAAGTGTCAGAAGAGTAACACATACCATAGTGAGCATTTTACATATACTGAGGCTTAAATGGGGTAACCTACTCGTAACCTACTCAGAGCCAGAGCTGGGAGCTGTCTATCCAGAGCCCTAGCCTGTCACCGAATCCAATGCACCTCATCTCTGAACTCCGAACCACCAGCACTGCTAACCCTAAGACCACTGCTTACAAAGAAAATGGGCAGGCGTGACTTTCTCAGTCCTCTCAAAATAAGTATCCTATGGAAGAACAACAACTCAGAACAAAGGGGGGGGGGGGGAAACCTGTTTGGTTCTGCTTAACTCACAGTAAATCAAGAAAAACAGACAACCATTTATCTATGCCCAAGACTCCCATTTTCAGTATTCTTCTATCATTTCATGAATAACTTACAAAAGAAAAAATATGCTACAGCGAAAAACTTTATTACAAATTTTAATAAAAATTTATAAACAGAGCCAATCTAAATTTTTACTCTACATTTTCCTGGTCTTGAAAGTGTAGACTTGCTATGCGTAGTGCCCCTGAATAAAACTATCGTGCATGGGCCCGGCATCACTTGTCTTGTGCACAGTGCACCCAGACTGCAGACACCTCCTGTGGGTGCGAGTGCACAGCTGTGAGGCACCTAGGAATGTCTTCATCTCCATGTCACCCATTTCCTTCCAATCAACTTCAATCCATGCCTGCCTGTAACACTTGTCCATGTGTGAACTTAGTCAAGTAAATTTTAGTGCATCTATCACACACTTAGTCATATAACAATTAAATGTATTCTTTTCTTTTTGAAATCCTCATCTGTGATATGTTTTTCATTGATTCTAGAGAGAGTAGAAGGGAGAGGGAGAGAGAGAAATATCAATTGGTTGCCTCACTCATGTACCTCAACCAGGGATCAAACCTGCTACCTGGGTATGTGCCCTAACCAGGATCAGAAACTGCGACCCTAGGGTGCACAGGACAATGCTCTGACCACTGTGAACACCAGTTAGAACTTAAATGCATTCTTTATTCTCATTTTGAAATTGTCTTAAAATGCACATAACAAAATTTAGCACCTTCACCATTTTGGTGCACCCTCAGTGGTGTCCAATGCATTCAGTGTTGTCCAGCCGCCGCCACCATCCACCCATTCTCTATACCCGTTAGATACTTCCTCCTTCCCACTGTATAAATATATTGTAACCCCCACCCACTCTACCCCCCTCACCCCAAATCCTGTTACATATAGAACCCACTGCCTTTAGGCAAAAGTCAATTTAGGGAAAGAACAACCATCCTCAGCTTGTGTGAAAGACACAGCTCTTCAAAGATTTATATTCAGCCCTCAAATAATCCTATATAATAAAAAGCTAATATGCTAATTAGACTAGACAGCAGACAACCTTCAAGAACGACCAATGGGCAGAGGGTGAAGCAACAAGGGCCTACTTTTGCACGATTTTTGTGCATCAGGTCTCTAGTAACCAATGAAAACCAAGGACCACTATGAACTATGTAATTCTATGACTAAGTAACTAATCATACCAAAGACCGACAGCATGCCAAGGGAAGGAGCTTCTATCTGGCCTGACTGAGCAAACCAGCTCTAGGAAAATGTCTACAAGAAAATACACAAAGGATTCTGCTGGTCCAAGAGCATAGACACAAGCTGACAATTTGTAAAGCTGGGAGAGCTTCTCACTGAGGGTGACTCACTAGGACAGCTTTGCTTCCCTCCCAAGTGAGAAAGAAACTGCGATCCAGAGTCACTGTGAGATCCACGATGCCTCCGAAAACAAAGAGCAGCGGCAGGCTCCCAGGGACCCTCCCAGGCAGCAAGAAGACACAAGTACTCACTGCAGCTGTGGCACAATCCCCGAGCTCTCAGAGGCTGGCGTGGCAGGCGTGATGGGGGTCATGGGGGTCATGGGTGAGGGGTACAGGGGTGTGGTGCCTGGCAAGGGTGCAGTGGTAGTAAGAGTCTGTGAGTGGAAGAGCTGTGGTGTCTGTCCTGAGGCCCCCTGAGGAGCTTGCTGGGACGTTGACTGCTGCACTGCGGCTGTCACTGTTGTCACTGCCGCCGCCTGCTGCTGCTGCTGCTGCTGCTGCTGCTGCTGCCGTTGCTGCTCCTCCAGAATGGACAGACTGTTGGTGTTCTGAATGGGCTGTGGAGTCAGCCCTGTGCCATATGGCATCATTGGACTAAAGATAGGGATTCCAGGAGTCATGGCGCCCTGTGGAGAGTCAGAACAGTGAGTTAGGCTGATTGGTGCTGTCAGGTGAGAGAACAGATGAGATGTGTAAAGACAGATGCCTTCTGGTGTAAATGCAGTTATTGAGCATTATTAGGGAGAAACTTGCTGTTCTTTCACACATCACTTTCTTCAATTACCATAACATAGTATTATAGGTAGGAGCTCAGGTGTGAAATCCAAATCTGCTACTTATTACACATGAGAACCTAAGGAAGTTGCTAAATCCTTCAGGCCTACCTAGGAGACAATAATGCCCCGAGATTGTTAGAAATAATCAGGGAGACCACTGGGGTGACCCCACATCCTTGTTTAAACTATTATCCTGCTTACCATCTGGGTAGCACCCCATTTCCAGCTTGGATGATAAATTACATGGTTACCCTAGAAATATCCACTTACAGCATCCAACCAGATGACAGGCACATGGAAACACTGAGTGCTTGCAGTGGTAATGATATTATTCTAGTGCTATTAAAAAAGGTTAATCATTGCTCTCAAAAGGTTAAATCAACAAAACCAAACACATTTATCAGAGAATATCGATTTACTTTCTACTCTGCTTCTCAACACTTCCAGACATCGTGACAGTTATTAATCGCCCTGAGTCCTACCAACAGCCCTCTGGGAAGGGAAACACCTGCCCTTCTTTCTTCTTTAAATACACAAGTTGCCCAGACCACAGATCTTATTGGCAGATTAGCCAAGATCACAAGTACATTTTCCCAACCCCCAGTCCGACCTTTTCCTGACACCCACATCCATGGAGACTGTGGATCCAGCAGAGCTCGTGGCGGCTGTGAACCTCCTAAAGCCGCACCTGACAGTTCGGCATGGAGGGGTTCCGTTTCCATTATATTTTCAAGTAAGTGCAAGACCCAAACAAAGAACCACAACCCTTTTCTGCTCTGTCACTTTATTTGGCAGAAAGCATAAACTAAAAATGTGTAAGACATTTATGTCAAACTATCTCACCAACATGGTGGCAGAAAGAATAAGAGAGGACAAACTACACACTGTGGCCCCAAGTACAGACATTATTCCACTGCATCTACCACTAACTTACATAAAAATGCTAGCTAGAGCAGAAACCAGTTTGGCTCAGTGGATAGAGAGTTGGTTCGATTCCGGTCAAGGGCATGCACCGTGGTTGCAGACACATCCCCAGTAGGGGGTGTGCAAGAGGCAGCTGATCCATGATTTTCTCTCATCGATGTTTCTAAGTCCCTATCCCTCTCTCTTCCTCTCTGTAAAAAATCAATAAAATATATTTAAAAATAAATACTAGCTAGAAAAAAATGCAAGCTACATTAACCTAAAAAGACTACAGCTAAGGTTTTGAAAGGTCTGCTTTCTTTAGGCCATGTATAAAAATGAGCTAAAAACAGCCGAAACTGGTTTGGCTCAATGGATAGAGCATTGGCTTGGGGACTGAGGGGTCCCGGGTTCGATTCCGGTCAAGGGCATGTACCTTGGTTGCGGGCACACCCCCAGGGGGTGTGCAGGAGGCAGCTGATCAATGATTCTCTCTCCCTTTCTCTCTGTAAAAAAAATCAATAAAATATATATATTTTTTTAAATGAGCTAAAAACAAATAAATGACAGCTATACATATAAAAACAAGAACTATGCAGTAAAACACCTTACGAGTTAAAGTAGGCAAAGATCTCTCAGACAAGACACAGAAGACGAAGCAATGCTGATAAAGAGGCGAGAAAAAAAATGATGAACTTCTACTTTCAAAAAGGCAATATCAGGAAAATTAAAAAATAAGCCGCAGACAGGGAGACAACACCTGCAGGACAAAGACACATTTACGCTTCCACAGAGACTCTGCAAGTTACACACGATCATGCCTATTCAAAGCCTAGGAGACCTTCTCAGCAAGATGTGAATGGTTTAAAGAATGCAAATCAACCTTCAAGAGCAGATGCTGTTACCTGAGGGGAGGCCAGGCCCTGTGCATAGGGCGGCAGGCTGTTGTTCTGATCCATGGCGATTATCTAATTCTGGGCAAGTCAACAGCCTCTGTACTGGTGCTGCCTTAGCAGCTGGTCTTTCCCGGGAGCATCCCCAGCACAACTTCCTAGCAGCTCCTGCAGTTCTCAGTTACGTTCACACCTAGATGCTGCCCTGAAACATTGAAGTTTGATGTGAGAATATCCATAAGCTCTACAATTTTATAAACCAGTTTCATGGTTACACACCGCCCCCCCAAAGAAACATTTTATCTTTAATACTAAAAGCTTATTCCTTCCATGTTGCCTGTGATTGTATGCAAAACTACCAAAAGGACAAAACTGTCTTGTTACATGTTTAATTTAAATACTCCTAATGTTCAAAATTAAGGTGTCATAATCAGCAATGAAATCTTTTGGGGAAAAATACCCAGAGAAAACAAATACCCAAGCAAACTTTATGCCTGAGTTTACTCTATGTACACAGCCCTATTAGGCCAATTTCAGGTTCTTAAATATTCCAATTAGTTTTATAACTTCAGTGTCTTAGGCATTGAATTCAATAAACATTTTATTGGATCCAATACACTTTAAGTGTGATCACTTATTGACCTGCCACTTCAGTAAAACACTGTAGAAGCTGTCTGTTTTATGTAATAACTTTACCTCTCTGGAAGACATAAATACAAAGTGTATCTGTATATGGCTTTCCTTAAATTACTATTTTTTTTTTGGCTTAATTTTTGAAGTAACTTTTAGACAAAATAAGTGACTCTGCTCAAAGACCCCGTGTTCTGTTCCGTTCCGTTGGATGGGCTGTTGCCCTGGGAACCGGTTGAATCACTAAGTTAAGTGATGATCACACACAGCACCTCATTGTCCCACAGGATAAACGTGTGGCATTATCACTAGACATCAGTTTAAACATTATCTAATAGGACGTTCTCACTAGACTTGCGGGTCTTAGTTACAAGTTAAAAGTAAAAACCCACATGCACTCAAGCATGAGCTGCTGCAGCGCAAACTCTTGACATTTCCAGAACGGACCAGAGAGGCCAAAAACGTGAAAACGAGAACCCCGCTTCAGAAAGTGTCAGAGATGTGAAAAGTTTCTTTTTGGACATAGTTACTCTAAAACCTCAGAAGTGCTGCATATACAAAAACGAAAAGGAGAGACGGCGGCAGCACAGGAGAACCGGCCCCGCGTCCGCCCGGCGTGGTGGCGGGGGGCGTCGGCTCCAACGGAGAGCGTTCCCGCGCGGCCTGGGCGCTCATCCGCCTCCTCCGGGCCTCTAGGCGGCCCCGCCGCAGGGTCGACTTCGCACGGCCCTGGGAGGAGAGAAAGGCCAAGGCGGCTGTTACCTGGGGCCACTGCTGACGCCAACACCACCTGCGGAGGCCTAGTCTAACGGCCGGCGGCCTAGGCGCCCGCCGCGGCGACCCCGGCCGACCCTCCGGAGCTCCCGGCGCACGTTTATAACGTCACTTCCGCCAGTGCTTGCTCGGCTTCAGCGCGGGGCCACGCCCGGGGGGCGATGCTGGGAAGTGTGGGCTTGCGTCACTTCCGGGGCTTCCCGGGATAAGCGTTTTGAAGGGCTTGTGGGGGAGGCAGAGCCATTCGGGAGTTCCGGGGCGGGGTCCGCTGGTCCGTGTCTTCTCATTGGTCGTTACTGGAAGTAGGCAAAGCGACTGTCTGCGTGGTCTTTGGCCGGTTGCCTGCCTCTCCGCCTCAGTTTCTCCGTCCGTTTTTAAAAGAACTTTTAAGAAAATTGTAAAATATAATGTTCATATAAGGAAGTGAAAATACACGTCCAGATGAACAGGAGGTTATAAATCAGGAAGCCGAGTACTGCCGGCCCTTCCAGCTGTTCCTTCTGTTATGTAGCGTGTGTCCCGACAGAAGACCCCTCGCTAGCGGACGTTGGTTAACCGTAGTTGATATGACATATGCCTGCGTTTGTGGATATTTGCTCACTTCCAGTTTGGGGCTATTTGGGACAATGCTATGTGGACATTCTTGCACATGCCTTCTGGCGTAGTGCACACCGGGAAGCTTAACTGCTGGGAGTGCAGGTGTCCTTCTCTACAACGATGCCAGGTGATGTCAGTCGCTTTCCAAATTCGGCCGCACCAACTTGCACTCGCGTAGACGATCCGACTTTGCGATGCGCGATAGTGTTGGCAATTATTTTTGTATGGTCAGGCTTTAAAATTCCTGCACATCAAAAGTGAATTCGGGTGTTTTCTTAAGGAAGAAAACCCTGACACCTCCGTCAGCTTTCTTGGAGTGGGGGGCCCAGCAGCCACGCGGACCTCTGAGAACCGGGCACCTGTGCGCGCCCGGGCGACCAGAGGGAGCGCCGCGGGACAACCGGAAGTGGCGCGATTTCCTACTTCCGGCTGGGTGGCCATCTCGCGGTGAGACAGCAGGAGCGGGTGCCGGCGATGTTGTCCTCTGCAGCGGTGTCTTGGGGTCCTGGACGAGAGCTGGCGATGGAGCCGCGCGGCGCCGGCCCCGTGCAGCTGCGCTTCTCGCCCTACGCGTTCAACGGAGGGTGAGGCCTCGCAGTCGCTCCCCATCCCGGGCCCTGCTCACGCCCTCCGGTGTACTGTGGGCTCCGTCTCCGGGTGGCTTGTCCTCTGGGCCCATCACTTGGGTCTGGTGCGGTCGGCCAGTGGGCAGTGAGGCCGCAGGTTGTCACGGAAGTGCGGCCTCCGCTGCGGGGGAGCTTCCCGGAGGGACCCAGCGGCAGCAACGGACAGTGGAGTGTCTGAGGGTGGATCCGTCCGCGTTGGTAGATGCATAGTTGTGTCTGGAGCCACAAGGGCTGATCATACAACTTAATCGTCTTCTGTTATTTTAGGTAGAAAGTAGCATTAGTTGGCCAGGCTTCGTTTCATAGTTCAATGCTTGTTTTTTTAAGATTTAGCTTAACTCCGGGGGAAAATACTCAGAAGAGGGCCTTTAAAAATGTTATCTTGCATGTTTCATTTAAGTAGTCCTTTTAAAAATAAAAATACCAGCTTTATGATACGTGGTGCTTTTCCTTGATAAACACTGAAAGAATTAGGGTTGAATTAGTCCATTAAGGACTCTTGGCAGCTGTAAATTGAGGCAGTGGTTGCAGTTTACCGACCAAACTATGTAAAGCAAACACCAGCTGGAACACACCAATGGGAAGACGACCAGTTTATTTAATCAGGTCTTGTGGATTTGAAGTATTCAAGCATATTTTTGGGATGTGGTGGAAGGTATGATTTTAGCCTTGTGTCTGCCACTAAAGGGCAATGTGGCCTCTCCACTTTTTGAACACAAATGCCCTTCTCTTCCTTAGCTTCTTAGAGTTTGGAGGAGAATCAAGCATTTTGTAAATTGCCAGCAGTTCCTTTTTTTCATCCTCATGCTGCCCTGAGTATTAGATGGTATTAGCCCATTTTTACAATGACCCTGGGGCTCCAGCCACAAGGCCGGTGTGAAGTTGAGCCAGGATTTGAATCCATATCTCTGTGGCCACTGAGTTTATGCTTTACTGTTTCACTTCTAACACTTTTGGTGGCAACTGATGGAGTAGTTATGTCATAAGGTGGCTATTGGACTCATTTCAAAAGGCACTTGTGAATTCTAAGACTGTGCAAGATTTTGAATATTCAGTACTCATTTCTCACTTTTTAGCCTCTTGTAATCCAATTTAAGCTCTATGAATTTCTGATTATTAAATTGAGTTATCTTTTTTCTCAGTCTATATATTTTTTTTATTTTTTTATTGATTTCAGAGAGGAAAGGAGTGGGAGAGAGGGTTAGAAACATCAATGATAAGAGAGAATTACTGTCTGCCTGCCTCCTGTATACCCCACACTGGGGCTTGAGCGCAACCAGGGCATGTACCCTGACCAGGAATGGAATTGTGTCCTGGTTCATAAGTTGATGCTCAACCACTGAGCCACATCGGCAGGGCAGGCATTTAATTTTTAATAATGATGATAATTTTGTGGCTCTTCTTTTACCTCCCACTATGGACCCTTTGCTGTGATGTAGACTTGTGTTTTAAAGAATTCTGGATATTTTTCCAGATGACTTGTAGCCAGGGCTCCTTTCCTGATCTCACCTCTTCTATCTGAATCCTGCTCTTGCTCGTATCCAGTGATTTTCTCCCAGTGCAGCCATACCTCGTGTTGTGTTTAATGTGCTCACAGATGATGCGTTCTTTACAAGTGGTTAGCATTTTTTAGTAATAACATTTTTAAATTACATAATAGTATTGCACACTTATTTCAGTGTAGTATAAATGTAACTTTTCTATGCCCAGAGAACCCAAAAACTGTGACTCACTCTGTTGTGATACTCGCTTTATTGCAGTGGTCGGAACTGGGCCCGCACTCTTCTGTTGGGTCAGGCTTGTTTACCATCCAGGAGGATTCATTAATTTTTTTTGTCCTTTTTTCCTCAGTACTGTATTGGCTATTGCTGGAGAAGATTTTTCTATTGTTGCTTCTGATACTCGATTGAGTGAAGGGTTTTCAATCCACACCCGGGACAGTCCCAAATGTTACAAATTGTAAGTAAATTTCTAATTCCACATTTCCCAGCTCCTTGTAGAAATTTATTGCTACAGAAATTTAACTTCTAAACAGTGTTACTGTTTAGTTGTGTGACTTCTTAGACCGCCTGTTTGGGGCTTAGCTTGCCTTTTTGTTAGGAAACAATTTTACAAATTAGTATTTCCTAATAATTTACTATGTAGTGTTCATGGTATCTGTCATTTGTGGATACCAACAGTGCCTTTCTTTTAAAAAAAAATTAAAAAAAAAAAAAAAAAAAAAATATATATATATATATATATATATATATATATATATATGTATTATTGATTTTTTACAGAGAGGAAGGGAGAGAGGGATAGAGAGCTAGAAACATTGATGAGAGAGAAACATGGATCAGCTGCCTCCTGCATACCCCCTACTGGGGATGTGCACACAACCAAGGTATGTGCCCTTGATCGGAATCGAACCTGGGGCCTTTCGGTCCGCAGACCAATGCTCTATCCACTGAACCAAACCGGTTTAAACAACAGTGCCTTTCATAACCTAAATATTTTCTTTTAAGATTATTTTTATTTATTCATTCATTTATTTATTTATTTTAAACATATTTATTTTTTACAGAGAGGAGGAAAGAGGAATAGATAGTTAGAAACATCAATGAGAGAGAAACATCAGCTGCTTCCTGCACACCTCCTACTGGGGATGTGCCCGCAACCAAGGTACATGCCATTGACTGAAATCAAACTTGGGACCCTTCAATCCGCAGGCCAACGCTCTATCCTCTGAGCCAAACCACTTAGGGCCAGAACCTAAATATTTTCATAACATTTTGTCATAAAAAATTTCAAGTATACAACAGAAATCATGGCCTATGCCAAATAGTTCTTGACAAGGTTGGTTTAGCTTTCTTTATAGGTTAATACCCAGATTTACAAGTTAATTTTTGAGACATATTGAACTTGTATGGATGTACCAAAATTAAATCAGTTTCCCTCTGGTGGGATATTTTTTATTTGTTTGTTTTGGAGAACCATTACAATAATATGTATACTCACACAAGTGGTCTAGAACATGTCTTTGCAAACTTGCTGACATGAATCTCTGGCAGTGGGATTATTGTATTAACCCTTTGCTAGATCTAGTCAGTGACCTCCTGAGGGTGAGATTATGTGTACTTCTTCCCAGCGTCTGAGAGGACCATTTTCCAAAAGCTGCCAGCACGAGGCATTACAGCCAGTGCAATAGGCGGAAATTGTCTCTTGTTTAGGTTTGGATTTCTGAGAAACCAGGAGGCTCTTTTCATGTGTTTATGGTGACTTGTGTCTACTTTTATGTGACTTTCATAACATTTTACCCATCTTAGTTTCAGATGTACAACATGATTCTAATTGGCATGTAATGTAAAATAATCACAGGAAGTCTAGGTCAGTGGTCGGCAAACTCAGTCAACAGAACCAAATATCAATAGTATAACGTTTGAAATTTATTTTGAGAGCCAGATTTTTTAAACTTAAACTATATAGGTAGGTGCATTGTTATTAACTCAATTAGGGTACTCCTAAGTTGGACTTTGCTTAAAACTCAAGGGGCCAAAGAGCCGCATGTGGCTTGAGAGCCGCAGTTTGCCGACCACTTGTCTAGATAAAAACTGTCCACGCACATATTGCACAGATTTACTTATTGTAATGAGAACTTATCTCAGCAACTTCAAATATGTACGACAGTAACAACAGCCACCATGTTGCATGTTACACCCCCATGATCCCTTGCGGTATTAACGATTTTCCTAATTGTACACAAAGTTAAAGCTGGACTTTGGTCATATGTATTACTAATACATTTTCTTATTTTTTATTTTAAACTTTGTATTTTTCTCTAAAATTTATGTGATGTAAGGAATTAGGTAACCAATTACAGGCATTTCCCCATTTCCATTATTCACTGAATGGCAATAGCAGTTGTCCCATTACCATCCAGTGAACAATGGGAATAGAAGTTTTAAGTTTAGCATTGCCCAACATGTGTTTTGCTTTACTGTTTAACCAACTCAGTGTCCTGAAATGTGCTTTTTATAGAACAGACAAAACAGTCATTGGATGCAGCGGTTTCCATGGAGACTGTCTAACCCTGACAAAGATTATTGAAGCAAGACTAAAGGTAGATGCGTCTTACATGTCTGACTATTGGAAGTTAATAACTCGTTAGACACTTTTATGGACATGGTGTGGCTGCTGCTCAGAATAGCTGGAGAAGCACTAGGTTAGTAGGACAAACTGACCTGTCGATGCAGCGTCATTAACAAAAAGAACATGAAACTACAACAAATCCACCTGTCGGATCCCTACAACAGAAAGGATTTCTGCCCTTTTTTGAGGCAGCAGGAATGGGGTTCTTCTTCCCTAAAAAACAAAACAGATCGACTTCTGTGGAGAAAACGAGCTTTTTGATGGGAGCTTGGTCTGGAATCCTGTCAGCTGATGTCGTCGTCGTCGTCGTGTCCTCCCCCCCCACCCCCCGCCGCCCCTTACAGACAGAACTTGTGGGTATTGTGGGTAGGAGTAGGAAGGGGAAAGTCATTATTACCTACTACCTTCACAGGCTTTAATTGAGGCCAGTGGGGTAGGAGAGAGGAGAGGCAGTGTTAGGAAGACGTGAAAGAAGGAATGAGACCAACCTTTTGCAAAGTGCTGACACATCCCTGCCTGAGGCATGAACTACGATTGACTCAGATGAAGCAAGGGGGTCTGGACTTGGATTAGGGTCTGTGTATAGTAAGCATTTGCTTCCAGACTAGGATAGGAGTGTTCGGACTGTTAGGTGGGTTTTACTGCACTCAGAAGGGCTAGAACTCCCAGTCACTATTGTCAGCATTCAGAAATGTAGCCTAGTGAGATTTTGACAGAGCTGTTGGTGGTATTTGCAGTGTCAGTTCCATTGCCCTTGGTTCCTGATTTAATTTTGTAGACTGTGGTCACAGTTTTTAAGTGGTTGGTTGGTCCACCTGGTACATGAAGAAATGAGCAGTAGTGACCACGTTTGCCTGCCTATTTGTAACATCTGAGATGTTCCCCCTGCGAGTGGTGTGGTCACTGGACTATGCAGTGCCTTACTTATCTGACACGTAGTTCTTGCATATGTAGGAGCCATCTGATTCAGTATTTATTGGTTGTTAATACTTATTTAAAAATTAGAAGCAAGAAATTCGTACATGGGGGTTTGTGGGATCCCTCAGCTCAGCCTGCATTCTCTCCAATCGGGGACCCCTTGAGGGAATCAAGAGTTTGGGCCTAAACGGGCAGTCAGACATCCCTCTCACAATCCAGGACTGCTGACTCCCAACTGCTCACCTGCTTGCCTTCTTAATTGCCCCAACCTCTTCTACCTTCCAGCCTGATCATCCCCTAACCACTCCCCTGCCAGCATGATTGATGCCTAACTGCTCCCCTGCCAGCCTGTTTGCCCCTAACTGCTTTCCTCTGCAGGCCTGGGTCCCTCCCAACTGTCCTTTCCTGCAGGCCTGATCGCCCCCAACTGCCTTTTTTCGCAGCTCATGCCTCAGGCAGTGACGTGTCAGCCCTTTGCTAAAGGTTGGTCTCACTCCTCTTCCGGCTTGGTCACCCCTAACTGCCCTCCCCTGCAGGCTTGATCACCCTCAACTGCCTTCTTTTGCAGGCCTGGTCCATCCCAACTGCCCTCCCCTGCTGGCCATCTTGGGGTTGGCCGTCTTTTGTCAACACGGGGTAGCCATCTTGCGTATTCTAGTGATGGTCAATCTGCATATTACTCCTTTATTAGATAGGATAGAGGCCTGGTGCACGTGAGGGGGCTGTTTTGTCCTGAAGGGTGTTCTGGACAGGGTAGGGGTTCCCTTGGGGCATGGGGCGAAGAGGTTGGGGCAATTAAGGCAAGCAGGTGAGCAGTTGGGGGTCAGCAGTCCTGGATTGCAAGGGGCCTGAGGTGGTTTTCAGGCCACGCCCCCTGGCAACTCAAGCGGAGGCCCTGGTATCTGGAGTTTTTTTATCTTCTACAATTGAAACTTTGTAACCTGGAGTGGAGCCTTTTGCTTGCTCAGTGGCAGCAGCCATTTCTATTGGGATTTATGTATCTTCTATAATTGAAATTATGTAGGCTTAGGCAGAGGCCTGGTCTGGCCAGGGTGTGCGGAAAGCTTGGCTTCCTCCATCACCCAGGGCAAACCTAGCCTCCTGCTCTTTCCAGCTCTTTTCTGTTTGGGTTCAATTATTATCTTCTATAATTGAAATTTTATAGCCTTGAGTGGAGGCCCAGGCTTGCAAGGGCAGGCGGAAAGCTTGGCTTCCTCCATTGCTGGAGAAACCCAAGCCTCCTTCCTGCTCTCTGTGGCCATAACCATCTTGGTTGGGTTTATTTGTATATTCGCTCCTGATTGGCTGGTGGGTGTGGCTTATGGGTATAGCGGGGGTGATTGTTAATTTGCATATTACTCTTATTAGATAGGATTCCACTTACATTGCAAGCTTCAGCAACTTACATTTATTGACCTGTGTGTGGTTTATAATACATATTTTGTAAATGGGACTAGAGGGCAAAAATAAACATGACAGAGAGAGCTGTTTTGTTAAATAAAACAAGAATCAGTGAGATCAACTTAGTGCACAATACTTCCTGAAATGTTTCTTCGATACGTTATTACATAGATGGTGGGGTGAATAAATGGGATTTGGTTTTGAAATAAAATGAAATTAAAATTTTGTACGACTTTCACCTTGGAAAACATTCTTCTGGACACCAACACGTGCACCACTTGTGTCTTGAGTGCTTTGTCACTGATGATTCCACAGTACCTCCTAGGTGTCTCTTTAGAGATGGTTGCCATGTGGCTGACAATTTGGGGAACTTGATGTTATGTTTGCTATTTGGTAAGATTCCTCAGTCTGTTGGATAAGTTTGGGTTCCCACGGGTGAAGTAAATGTGGGCTGGGATTCTGAATGTGAATGTCACCTGGGTTCGGAGGCTCCTGTCCTCACTGCAGGGGCTTTAGGAGCAAGACCACACCCTGTCCTAGAGTCTGAGGCCTCATCTCTGCTCTCAGGCGAGGCTGCTGTGCCGAGAGGGGCCTCAACCTGCATCTGATCAGGGCTCAGCAGACTCTACAAAGACCCAGATAGGAAGTGTCTCAGCTTTGTGGATCGCTAGGTCTTGGGGGCAACACTCAGCTCTGCTGTTGAAACTCAGAAGCAGCTGTAGCTGGCATGTCATGATGAGAGAAACTACTTACAGACATGGGTGGGGCTGGATTTGGCCCACGGCTACAGTTTTCTGACTGGCCTATGCGCATTGAAGAGCTGGGTTGGTGTGAGTTTGCTCTGGAGTTTGTATCTTTGTCTTGGAATAAGGATGACATGGGAAATAGTCTGTAAACCAGATACTAGAGGGCAAACTTAGTGTTCTTTCCTCTAAAAATTCTTATTCCTCCCAAAGTGATAGGGTATAGTGAATTATTTTACCTTAGTAATATTGTGTATTTTTATCATGAGAGAAACCGGTATCTTTTCTTTCACCAAGATATGCACTTATTCTTTTCCCTGTATTCATTGTTGTAGCCTATAATAAATAAAGTCTGCCTCTACATACCTGTTTTTGTTAAAAATGGCAGATGTACAAGCATTCCAATAACAAGGCCATGACCACGGGGGCTATTGCAGCAATGTTGTCCACAATCCTCTACTCACGGCGCTTCTTTCCGTACTACGTTTACAACATCATCGGGGGACTCGACGAAGAAGGTAAGGTCTTTCTTGTGGAAAAGGAGGGACTGGCATGTCTTAGGTGCCGGGGTTTCATCTAGACTTGAAGAGAACCACAAGGACCATCTTGCCCAACAATTTCATTTTCTGATAAAGCAACAGAGACTGAAGCTGAGAGGAAATAGAGCAGGTGGCAGTTGGCGCTAGAATGTCGGCAGACGTTGCTTTACTATTTCCTCAAGGTCTCAGTGAGTTCAGAAGTAGGTACTCAGCATTTTAGACTTAAAAAGGAAATCTGATCTGGAGGATAAACTTACTTGACATCAAAAAGTTTTTAAAAACTGATGTCTTGGAAGGAATGCATGCGTTTTCACCCGTGTGTTTTTGGTGGTTTTGTTTTTAATATAAATGATTTTTTTTTTTTTCCCCCAGAGTGGAAGGGAGAAGGATAGAGAGTTAGAAACATCGATAAGAGAGAAACATTGATCAGCTGCCTCCTGCCCACCCCCCACTGGGGATGTGCCCACAACCAAGGTACATGCCCTTGACCGGAATTGAACCTGGGGATCCTTTAGTCTGCATACTGACGCTCTTTCTACTGAGTCAAACCGGTTAAGGTTCGCCCGTGGTTTTGTAACATTTTTGAAAGGCTCTGGTTTTCGACAGAACCAGCGCGTTTCTGTCCTGTTGTTTGGCTAAGCTTCACACAGGTCTGATCTGTGCTGACTTTCAGTTGCTTCAAACACCACAGACTCTCAGGTCTGTCTGTACACCATTTAGAGTGGCCCATCGTGAAAGTTACAGAAGCGTCAGTGAGACCTGGTCACTGAAATGGGTCTCCTTCCGAGAGGGAAGGTGATGGGAAGGAATCGGGGCTTCTCTGTTATGTCCCTCCAGGCTCTGTGTCTCTGCCCACAGGCTTCCCTGCTGCCCCCACCAAGGGGCTCTAGGAGTTTTCTGCACCTCCACCTTCACGGTTCACATGAAACAGACTAGGCCAACACAGTATCCTTTGAGGCTTACAGCCTTGAAAACTAAGAGAAAGTGTAAGGGCTAGAAATGATCATCAGAAATTAATTACTCTTAACCTGGGCAATTAAATTCTAGCCACCGAACAGCTGCCTAACTTAGTACAGCTCTTCTGGTGCCTCTTTGACTTAAATTATATCTGATTTAAATGTCAGATCAATAAATGCCTGTTTTAGCAGCATTCGTAGCTACGGCTGACTTTCAGCAGGACAGGGGAGGTCAAGGACCTTGAGAGTCAGGGCTGATGTGGGAGCTCATGGCTACTAACCGGCAGGCTGGGGTTTGGGTCTGTTTGACTGCAGGCCCTTCTTGGCCTTTGATTTACACATGACAGCGCTCCTTGTTCTAGTGGATTTGATTCTCAGGCATTTCCAACTGTCCTTTCTAATCTTGCCTTTGATTTTCCTTAAAGTAATACTATTTCTTAAAGAAGTTTGTTCCCGAATAGTCTTCAGCTCTGACCAAGGCATCCCTTTTCTTGGTTTTTCTCCAAGTGGATTTCTGAAAAAGAAACTGGCAGGCCTTTCTGAGACTTTACTGTTGGCCTCTGTCTGATCTCGGGTTCTGGCCCTCGTCCAGAGTTTTTCCACATTACTATGTCTCTCTCTCCACCTTCTCCACCAGCTTTCCCTTTTTTGTTTTTCAGTTTCCATATTTTATTTATTTTTTTTAAGAATCCTGCTCTTTTTATACCTTGTTGTACTTTGAAGTTTCCTTGAGTTGTTGCATTTTATCAGATTGGTTTTCTTGTTTGTTTTGGGCTCTGTCTTCTACATTGGAGGCTTCCTTAAAATGTCTGTTCCAGTGTTTTGTTTTGTTTTGTTTTGTTAAAATATTTTTTATTCACTTATTACAGAGAGGAAGGGAGAGGAGAGGGATAGAGAGCTAGAAACATCAACCAGTTGCCTCCAACACACCCCCTACCGGGGCTGTGCCTGCAACCAAGGTATATGCCCTTGACCAGAATCGAACCTGGCACCTTTCAGTCCACAGGCCTATGTTCTATCCACTGAACCAAACCGGTTTTGGCCTGTTGCAATTTTTGGCTTCCATTCCTCTTGACAATGCTGCACCTAGGTGGGATGGTCAGGTCTGATCGCCACGCCCCAGCCCTACCCTCTCTGTAGGCTGTCTATCACTGTGGACGTGCTCCCTTCTGCTGATGGAGTTGACACTGCTAGAAAGGTTTTGCTCTTAGGAGCCACAGAAATGGCCTTGTCCACACTGCCATGTTTCACATGCCAGCTTCAGAATGGTTGCAGTTTCGGTTCCATACTAACTACAATGTTCAGGAGGAATTTGGTACAGAACTTAGAGCAGGACCTGTGACCATTAACTGGCATGCCTGTGAGGCCACATGCACACAGGGAGTAAAGGATGGGGGTGGAGTTTGGTGTGCAGAGTGCAATCTGGTGGCAGACACCACGTGGAGACAGGAGTGGCAGGTGGGCTCTGGGGGACGGGAGGCAGGCTGCTGATATCCCATGTGCAACAGGGCTTGTGCTCCTCGCTGAGAGTTGCTGAAATTTTAGCTAAGTCAGTAGTCCATTCAGCTTCACACTTTGCCATGATTTGAGATTGGGGTCCGGATGCAGCCTCATGGAGACTGTTTCCTTCTTGAAGGGAAGGGAGCCGTGTACAGCTTTGACCCCGTGGGCTCCTACCAGAGAGACTCCTTCAAGGCAGGAGGTTCAGCAAGTGCCATGCTGCAGCCATTGCTGGACAACCAGGTAACGACACTGCCCCATTCTTCCTCTGCTCCAGGGCCAGAGGCAGGGGGGAGGCCAGGCTTTCTCGTAAATCCTTGTGGACTATGGCTGATTTGCCTGCTAGACCTGGTCTCTGCTGGCCCTCAGCCACTGCTCACCTACCCCATGCCTGCCTGCTTCCTGCATCCCTGTGATTTCTAGGTCTCTGGTGCTGACCACAGTTGGTCCATCTTTTCAGTTCTCCTTACATCCTCACCCGAGTTTCCTGAAAACACCTTTCTCCCTGATACCATCTCTGTCTTATTAACATGCTCCTTTTCCATTTCTGCTGACTAAACTCAGACCAGCGTGGCATCTTGCCTGGATTGTTGTATCTCCTCACATCTGTTCTGCATTCTGGCTCCCTTCCCCAGGTCATTCTCCTCGCTCTTCTGAAATTGGTCACATGCAGTAACTTCTCTGCTCATTGCTTACTACCTCCACTCCTTCACGCTCAACTCCAGTGTCTTTTGTTCTAGCGGGTCTGGTCGTGGCTGCTCGGCTTTCCTGGCTCCTCTCCCTCCTCGGCTGCAGCACAGTCTGTAACACTCTGCCCTTGCCCACTTTCAGGCCAGAGGCTTCCTGAGAGCCAGGGCTTTGTCTCAACGCATCTGTGTGGGAGGACACTGATCCGTGTGACGTGTTTGTTATGAACTCAGACATGTTAAGGCGGAGGGACAAGGGCTTGGTCCTCTGTACGGTCACGTGATGCCTCACCCAAGTTTCCTGTCCCACCAGGTTGGTTTTAAGAACATGCAGAATGTGGAGCATGTCCCGCTATCTTTGGACAGAGCCATGCGGCTCGTGAAAGACGTCTTCATTTCTGCTGCCGAGAGGGACGTGTACACCGGGGACGCCCTACGGATCTGCATCGTGACTAAGGAGGGCATCCGGGAGGAGACGGTGCCCCTGCGGAAAGATTGACCTCTGCCACGAGCTGCTTTGGTTATTCAAATAAACCCTGATGTGCTTATCCTGTTAGAACTTGTCTTCTCTCAGCAGCTCAGGTCCAGGAGCTGAATTTTTTTTCCTTTTCCTCATTCTTCCACACTTGTCTATCCTCCAGAGCTATTTTTTAAATTTTATTTTAAGGATGAAAAAATAAATGGCTCGTGTCAGTTTTCCTTATATTTATGAGCAAGAAGTTTATCTGGAAAAGTTGACATTTGTCCATGGAGATGGCTGACCCGTCTCATGCATAGGGTTTCTTTACGGTTTCCCTTTCCTCCCTCTGGGTCTCACTAAGACATCAGTGGATGTAAGTGAACACCTTGGACTCACATTCCCGGGGTTGGGGACACGCAGCCTGGAGAGGTTGTTTTGGAGACACATCTGATCACTACATAGAGAAAAATCGTAAAAGCAAATAGGCCTTTATATGGACCTTAGCCAGAAATCTCGGATAATTTTTCCAAACAGCTTAGGAATGTTAAAATCAGACCTAAATTTTGATAGTGCTAAGGCAGTTTTTGCTCTAGAATTATTACATGCATTTTAGTTACGTTACATGTAACTTTGGACTAGTTTTCTTGGTGTTGAGCAAGTCCAGTTATACAAAACAGCCTAGATGATTTTCTTGGTAGACTAACAGAGAATTTATTATTGACCTCAAGAGTTAATAAAAATTGTTAAAGCCCCTACTTTGGTCTACAAATAGGATCACAGGTGGAAACCGGCCACGTCATTGAGTTCATCCTTAGTGAACTAGTTCTCTAGGGAAGCAGCTGGTCGGACACAGACGGACTTATAGTGAGGAAGTGACTGCTGATCTGTCTTCAAGCCAGGGCCAGAGCCCAAAGCAGGTTCCCATTGCAGTGTGCTGGGCGGGAGGACCCTCCTTGCTCAGCACTCCCCACTCGGGCTCCTTCCAGCCTCAGCATTGCAGGAGGGCAGCCACCTCACTCAGCTCCTGACTTAAAATGCTGAAGAAACCCTCACACGCTCAGGAATATTTATTTAGCCAAATATCTGGGCACCCTGTGATCCAGTTGAGCTGACAACCACTGCAATGATATAAACAGGTCTTTTTTGGTTTGTTTAAAAGGACTTTGTTGAGTTTGGGGTTTTTTACTATTTGAAATTATATGAATGTGTGTGTGTAGAATTCTCAATGAGTCCTCCCCTATGAAGGTTCCTAGTAACTATCTTTTTCACAGCTTCAGGCACAAGTTGTTTAGCCCTGTTTCCTCCAGAGCTTGGACAAGGTCTCCTTTGAAGGCCTGTGTGTGAAGGAGTCACCTCCAGCCTCCATATGTTGATGCGTGGGCCCCTGAGCCAATTCTGACTCCAGTAACTGGGCGGCTTTTCTAGATGGATCCACCATAATTGCTCACCTGAAAAGGCAGCCTTTTAGCACCTGGACAGATTCGAGGGACTTCCTTTGACAGCTAGCTTTCCGTTCTGGTTACGCTGAGACCCCTCAGGTTAGTGATGTTCCTGCCAGGACACAGCTCACTCTGGATTTACAGAATGAGTTGGAATGCTATGCAGAGGCTTGTTCTTAGAAATATTTCTCTGGGTCTGCTGAACGGGCTGCCTGCCTCCCCTCCACCCCTCCCCAGCTGCCCCTGGGACTCCATATTTCCTGCTCTGACTTGCAGGCAGGGAAGTGGGCCTGTGAGACTGACTGCAAGGGTGTGGGACCGTCTAATAGGAGGCGGTCTTGGTTATTATCTGAGATTTCTGGCTAAGGCCCATGTAAAGACCTATTTGCTTTTACGATTTTCTTCTATGTGTAGTGATTAGAAGATGCATCTCCAAAACAGCCCCTCCAGGCTGCGTGTCCCCAACCCCGGGAATATGAGTCCAAGTGGGCCTGTGAAACTGACAACTGGGAGGGTGGGGCCGTCTAGTAGGAGGCGGTCTTGGTCACCACAGTGTCTCAGCAGATATGTGCCTGCCTTTTGCACCTCAGGAAGGTGGGTCCCCTGTATTCTGCAGAACACTTGTCCTAAACTGATTCTAGGCCACCTCAAGGACGTGATCTGAACACTTGCATGGTAAACCATCCAATGCCAGGATGATGGTCACACACTTGGAACCTTGTCCTCTTCGGAAAGCATTTTTCTGTAAAGGGGAAACATCTCCATTCAGTAAAGGGTCTGGGGTATGGCTTGCTGCCCACAGAGCTGAGCTGAGCTGGAAACACACAGACGATCTGGCATGTGATTGCACCACGTTGACCTCCCGTAGCCCCAGGGCCTGCACCTTCTCTGCCCAGACTGCTGGGAGCCCCCTGCCTCGGAGTTGGCTGGGGTCCCTTGGGAACCCACTCCTTCAAGAGGGCAGGTGCGCGCCTCTCTTCTGGAGGTCACCAGGGGGCAGTGTCAGCCTGGCCGGCCGTGGGAAGGAGGTCTGTCGCTGGCCAAGGTCCTGGTGCTGGCATGGCTGAGCTGTGAGAGCACTGCACCTCGCCTGGGAGGAGAGCACCTTTTCGCTCCAGGTCTCAGCTGTGCTGACACCAGGGGTCAAAGTCAGTAGCAAGGTAGCAATCTAGTGCAGGAGGTAAGAATGTATGTGGAGGCCCTGAGTGTGGGGCGGGGAGATGGAGAGAGAAAGGAAGCAGGAGGTCATGGTTTCAGCAGACAAAAATCAAAACAGAATTTCTTAGGAAGCAGGGAAACCCAAGGATTCCAGGGATATGACCCGTGGCAAACTGAGATTAAGACAGAATTCCACTGGTCTCTCTTTTTCCTTGGTTTTCTGCTACCAGCAAATCCTTCATTTCTTGTACTTTGGTAAATTCCCTCCCAAAGAACCTCGATATTCTGATCATCTAAGGACCTGGGTGAGGGTGCTGCGTGGGAGCTGGTGGGAGGAGGATCCCCAAGGTCAGGAACACAAGTCAGACCTGCACTTCTTGCATTTAACTCGAAGCCTTCAGTTCCGGGGAATTTGGCCTGGCCCCTCCACCTGCCAGTGACAAGGGCTAAATGTTTTCCTTGTAGGTTACAGGTAACTGCCTTTTTTTTTTTTTTTTTTTTAATATATGTTATTGATTTTGTACAGAGAGGAAGGGAGAGAGATAGAGAGTTAGAAACATCGATGAGAGAGTCATCAATCAGCTGCCTCTTGCACACCCCCCACTGGGGATATGCCCGCAACCAAGGTACATGCCCTTGACCGGAATCGAACTCGGGACCCTTCAGTACCCAAACCGACGCTCTATCCATTTGAGCCAAACCGGTTTCAGCGGTAACTGCCTTTTTTACCCTCTTACACAGAAGAAAAAATCAGTAAGTACAGGGCAGACCTGCCCTAATGAAGGTAAAAGGCAATTCTGTAGTTAGAATAACCACAACCCGGGCATGTGCCCAGACTGGGAATCAAACCGGCAACCTCCTGGTTCATGGGTCAATGCTCAACCATTGAGCTACACCAGCTGGGCTTTAACTGATTTTTTAAAAAGTTGATTCCAGAAAGAGGAAGGAGAGAGAGAAGCTGTTCGGCCGCCGCCCGCATTTGCTGGGAACAGGACTCAAACCGGCCGCTCAGGTGCACAGGATGACGCACCAGCCGACCGAGCCGCACCAGGCAGGACACTTGATTTCATTTTGTAGTTACCAGTCTGTGCTTCTTAATGTCCTCACTTTTTCTCCAACCCCCACCTGCAGCCCTTAGTTTAGTCTCTTTGTCTGTTTATATTTTGTTTATTCGTTTGATTTGTTCTTTAGATTCCACATATAAGTGAAATCACTTGGCATTTGTCTTTCTCTGATTATTTCACTTAGCATAATGCCCTCCAGGTCCATCCATGCTGTAGCAGATGGTAAGATTTGCTTCTTTTTTATGACTGCATAGTATTCCACTGTGTAGATGTGCCACAACTTTAGTTGTTATTCCTCACCCAAGGATAGTTTTCTACTGATTTTAGACAGAGTGGAAGAGAGAGGGAAAGACGAGAGAAACATCAATGTGAGAGAAACACATCCATTGTTGCCTCTTGCACACACCTCAAGCACGGCCCAGGCCAGGGAGGAGCCTGCAACCAAGGTATGTGCCCTTGACTGGAATTGAACCCAGGACACTTTGGTCCACAGGGCAACGTTCTATCCACTGAGGCAAACCGGCTAGGGCTGTACCATAGCTTTTTAATGCTCTCATCTTCTGTGAATCAGGAAGTCACTTCATCTCTGACATTGATAAAAATACATTTTTAAAAAAAGAAAAAGAAACACTGCTCTTCTGGGGTTCCCAGTGCCCCCACCTCAGGCCTGGGGTCAAGTGTGAGAGCCACACGGTCCGCCCAAGGTCCCCTTTGCCCGACCTCAGCTGGTGCCTGTAGGGCCACACGTCGCCCAAGTCAAGTCTGCTTCGGGGAAAGCCAAAGGAGCTGCCTTTGGAAGTCCAGTGTTTGCCTCGAGGGATTGTCCAAGAAGAGCCTGACTTCACGCTTCCTCCACGACTGACCACAATGAGCTTCCGTGTGAGGAGGCAGTGGCCCTGTTCACCTGCAACAGAGGAGAGGAACGTCCGGAGGCTCAGGAGCCCAGGGGCCACGTGAACCGCCCCTGGATGTCACACACACCAGGCTGGCGGGGCCCAGGGTACTTTGGAAATTCTAATGGGAAAGGGCCCCCTGAGGGCCCTCCTCCAGCTTCCTGTGGCAGCCCCTCGCCGTTGCCCTGGACACAGCTGACAGGTCCAGACACTGACCTCCTCCCCCTCGCCCACGTGTCTGGCAGCACCGGGCTGTGGTTGTGGCTCTGGGATCCAGACCCATTGCTCACCGGCCTTGTGGCCTCAGTCAAAGCCGAGGTTTCTTTGCCTGTGACAGGAGAGATGCTAGTACTTCGTCCTATGAGCAAGATGATGTGTCCACAGTGTGTCCTCGGAGCATCTGTCCCACACTCCAGGAGTGCCCACCCTGTCTGCCTGGGGACTGATTTATCCTTCAGACCCTGGCTCAGGGATGCCTCTGCCTG